TCGTCGTCGTAGTAGTAGTAGTAGTAGTAGTAGTAGTAGTAGTAGTAGTAGTAGTAGTAGTCGTGGTGGTGGTGGTGGTGGTGGGGGTGGTGGTGGTGGTGGTGGTGGTGGTGGTGGTAGTAGTAGTAGCAGTATACGGAGGAGGAGGATGAGCCCGAACCTCCACCTCCTACTGCTCCACCCCCCCTCTTTTTACCCACCTTGACGGTTCTCCCCCCGTCTTGGACGTCGCCGCCTCGGCCGAAGGCCGCCGACGGCCCCCGACGGCCGCTGAGGGGCCGCCGATGGGCGCCGACGGTCGCTGCGCGGGCGCCTTGTGTCCTATGAGGCCGCCCAAGACCTCGTGCCGACCGTGGGCGCGAACAAGAGGGTTTTCGTCTGCGATCTGGCGCCCAGCGTCAATGAGCAGGACTTGGCCTTGTGTCGAGGGGTCGAGGAGGAGGATGAGGAGGAGGAGGAGGGGGATGATGATGATGATGATGATGATGATGATGATGATGATGATGATGATGATGATGATGATGATGATGATGATGATGATGGATGATGATGATGATGATGATGATGATGATGATATGATGATGATGATGATTATGATGATGAATGATGATGATGATGATGATGATGATGATGATGATGATGATGATGATGATGGTGATGATGATGATGATGATGATGCTGATGCGATGATGATGATGATGATGATGATGATGATGATGATGCTGATGCTGATGCTGATGGATGATGATGATGATGATGATGATGATGATGATGATGATGATGATGATGATGATGATGATGATGATGATGATGATGATGATGATGATGATGCTGATGATGATGATGATGATGATGATGCTGATGACGATGATGATGAGGAGGAGGAGGATAATGAAAAAAACGCCAGCCAGGTGTGGCCAACGGTAGAACATGGGTGGAGGAGGAGGACGAGGAGAAGGAGGAGGAGGAGGAAGAGGAGAAGGAGGAGGAGGAGGAAGAGGAGGACGAGGAAGACGACGAGGAGAAGGAGGAGGAGGAGGAGGTGGAGGATCGAGTAGGTGGACTAGGAGGAGGAGGAGGAGAAGGGGAGAGGATAGGAGGATGAGGAGTAGAGGAGGAGGTGGAGGAGAGGAGGAGGAGGAGTTCGGCCACGTGCGAGGGAGGAGGAGGAGGAGGAGGAGGAGGAGGAGGAGGAGGAGGAGGAGGATGAGGAGGAGGGGGGGAGGAGGAGGAGGAGGAGGAGGAGGAGGAGGAGGAGGAGGAGGAGGAGGAGGAGGAGGAGGATGAGGGCGGATGAGGATGATGATGATGAGGAGGAGGAATATTAATAATATGAATAAGAACATTAAGAAGAAGGATAATAATGCAAATCATGCTACGAATAATAATACTAATAAGAATAAGCATACGATTAAAGTATGAATACGAAGAACAATACTAATACGACGAATAAGAATACTAAGCCTAAGAATCAATACTACTAAAAAGACGAAGTATAATATAGTCAGTCAGAAAATATAGCAGTACCACGAATAATATTATGGAGATTCGTACTCACAAATTGAAGAGGCCGAATAATACTAATAACAGTACTAAGAACAGCACTACGAATAAACTATCACGTATGCTAATACTAAGAAATACTAGTATACATATTACTAAGAAGAATACAATAACAAAATAATACTAAGAGTAGTAATAAGATGAACAGGAGGAGGAGGAGGAGGAGGAGGAGGAGGAGGAGGAGGAGGAGGAGGAGGAGGAGGAGGACGAGGATTGTCGAGTATGGACGGTGAAGGATGGAGGAGGAGGAGGAGGAGGGAGAGGGGGAGGTGGAGGAGAAGGAGGATGAGGCGGAGGAGGAAGATGAGGAGGAAGATGATGGGGAGGAGGGAAGAGGGAGGATTAGGCGGAGAAGGAGGATGAGAAGAAGTATGAGAGTGGGGTGGAGTAGGAGTAGGGTGAGGAGGAGGAGGAGGAGGAGCAAGAGGAGGAGGAGAAGAAGGATGAGGAGGAGTTTAAGGAGGATAAGGAGGAGGGTCGATGAGGGTCGATGGTCGAGGAGCATCGTGTAGGAGTGAGGAGGAGGTCGAGCAGGAGGAGGAGGAGGATCGAGGCTCGATGACCGGTCCCTCGTCTCCACTACCTCTCGCTTGCGCCTTTCCAGCAGTTAGCGGCCAGAAGCACGGCCATACAGTCCGCCCTGATTAGTAGGTCTGCCAAATCGACGGCACCCGCGGCCCATTCCTTCTACATTCCTATGGCAATGTGGCCCTCGGAAAGGGTCTCGTATCTTCTCGCGTGTCTTGTCCAATCAAGTCCGACGGTATCCAGCAGCTGCACAGTTCGAGGGCGGTTGCTTTTCAACAGGGGGCTCGCGCTCGAGACTTCCTCACATTTCACCGCAGTTCAAGAATTTTAGCAACAGCTGCATGGGTGAGGGGCGCTTCCTTGTCAGAACGGAGCTTTCGCTGGACTCATCGTTGTGTTTTCCGATCCTGCCTGGTCGTATTCCTTATTGTCAAACTGGGGCTGTCGCCTCAATGGTAGGCCCTTAGGGTGATCATCTCTCAAGGGGACGCTCCTTGTTGAGACAAGGACGGCAAGTAGGGACTTGTGAGGAGGGGAGTGGGGACGGGAGGGTGTCCTGCAGCGTCGTTGACGCGTCCTGAGTTTACTCTGGTTCTCCCTCATCCTCCTCCTCCTTATTTTCCTCAGGCTCGATCCAGGATCGATCGATGGAGTTTTTCGCCCAGCTGCGGCCTCCTAGGTGCTGTTTTCGGTTTCTAGGGCCGCCAGATGTGGGTTGTCGTCGTCGTCGTCGTCGCCGTCGTCGTCTCCTTTCTGACCCTCCTCCTCCCTCCTTCCTCCCCCCTCCTCCCTTCTCCCTCCTCCCTCCTCCCTACCCCCCTCCTCCTCCTCCTCCTCCTCCTCCTTCCTTCTCCTTGTCCCCCTCCTCATCCTTCTCTTCCTCCTCTTCCTCCTCTTCCTCCTCTTCCTCCTCCTCCTCCGCCTCTGCCTCCTCCCTCTCTCCTCTTCCTTGTCCTGCTTCTTTTTCGCCTCCTCCTCATCCTCCCTTTCCTCCACCGCGTTGCCGTCGTCGTCGGCGTCACCATCCTCAAGTCTGGCACGGTCTGGTACATACCACTTGAACTGTACACTCGCTGGCTCAGAATGCGGACCCCAAGGGGGTTCGGGAGCTTTGAACTGCCCGAGCTCGGGTGTTACTAGTCGCACGGCGTCACGTTAACTTTGTTTGACCTGCTCGGTCGCGCGTTCTCCTCCTTTTCGGTTGCGTCCCCCACCACCTCGTCAACGTCGCCGTCGGCGTCGTCGTCGTCTTCTCTTCCTCCTAGTCCTCCCTCGACCACCTCGTCGGCGTTGTCCTCCTCCACCCAATTTCCTTATAGACATCTTCTTCCTGTCGCACCCCCGCACATGTCTGTAAGGCGGGTCGATCGCTTCTCTTGAGACTTTTTTCGCCGTTTACACTCGTGAAGCTTGACGTTCACACGAATGGGGCGCATGTCGTTTTCAAAAAGGGGGCTCCCGCCTTGGCGCTGCGCACGCTTATCTTACGAATTCGCGACAGTTGCAGTGATGGAGGGGGTCTTTCAAAGTGTAGCTCTCGCCTCAGCGCTGCGCACATTCGTTGTAAACTTTTTTTTGCAGCAGTGGCAAGGATGGAGGAAGGGTCATTTTCAAGCCGGTGGCGCCACACTCCTTCGTTTGAACAGTTTGCACCAGGCTCAGGGGTGGATGGCGGTCCCTTTTCAAGCTCTCGCCCCCACGCCTTCGCGTTCGTTTGAGGCGCATGCAACCACTACACGGATGGAGGACGGCTTCCTTTTCACGATTCGGCGGCGGGGTGCAGCCAGTTGGCCGACCTCGGTCAGAAAGGACAATGTGGCGGCCTGGGCTTGTTTTTGTTGTTGTTGTTGTTGTTGTTGTTGTTGTTGTTGTTGTTGTTGTTGTTGTTGTTGTTCTTGTTGTTGTTGTTGTTGTTGTTGAAGATTATTACTTCTAAAGAATAATTATTGTTGGGGCCCCTGGTGCACGACCCCCCCGCCGCGCCTAGGCCGCAGCCTCATTTTCATCATTTTCGTGAGGAAGTCTCAGGCAAAACGGGTTGGTCCGGATCCGGTTGTGTTGTTACGATCGGTTTTCCCTTGCAAAAAATAAGCTAAAGTGGACATTTCTTGTTCTAACATAACCAAACTTCAAGAATCCCTTGCAAAAAATAAGGTAAAGTGGACATTCGCGCGCGCAAGACGAAATCCTTCCAAAACCTTAGTGTTCGCAGCGATTTTAACATAAAAACATCAAAAAACCAATGGTTTTTCAACAAAAAATTGTCAAAATCTCATCCCGCGCGCTCTTGCGGATTCGTAGGAAACCCAACACTTTTTAAACATTTCTGTCAAACGGGCTTTTGCGAGCAACTTTTTCGAACTTCTGCGACAACGGTTGCGCACCTGCCAGGGCCATCATCCCTGTCAAATAATACCATGCGGGACACATTCGTTTTTTCTTCGCGCGCGCACGCCGTCGTCGTCGGCCGCGGGGCCCTGAATAGTAGCCACGGTCGTCCGCATGCCACGAAGTGAAGTGTCCGAACGTCATAGGGCGGGAAGCTGGGTGTGGGTGGTGGCGAAGAGTCGTTTGGAAATTTGGTAGAGCTTGAACCGGCCCCCCCACAAAGTGGGGGTATTGCCCGCCTCCTATGAAAACCCTGGCACTGGTGAGAACGGAGTGTCCCCACGTGCTAGTAATTGTAGTAGTAGTAGTAGTAGTAGTAGTAGTCGTAGTAGTAGTAGTAGTAGTAGTAGTAGTAGTAGTAGTAGTAGTAGTAGTAGTAGTAGTAGTAGTAGTAGTAGTAGTAGTAGTAGTAGTAGTAGTAGTAGTAGTAGTAGTAGTAGTAGTAGTAGTAGTAGTTTTCTGTTCATATATATATATTTATGGAGGTTTTTGAGCAACATGCAAGAATTCGTTGTAACACTCAAGATTTCTGCGCTGAGCGTTGCATCGCGCTGCGTTCTCTCGCTTGAGGCCTCTGTGAGTTTTTGCACCACGTGCTCAAACATCTGCAGCCGCTGCACGCGCGGAGGGCGGCTCCTTGTCAGCATGGGGGCTCTCGACGGAGACCTTCTTCGAATGTGATGGCCAGAATTGTACGCCTGGTTCATGTCTAAGTCTTCGAAAGTTCTTTGAATGTTTGGGGGGCCAAGATCCTTTCACTTCTAATTGTTCTATCCTGGGCCTCTTCCTGCCCACTAGGGGGCCAGGAACAATTAGAAGCGAGCGACGTGTGAATCTGTGCAACAGTTGCACGGGTTGGGGGGCGGTCCTTTTTCAATATGGGGTTCTCGCTGGACACCTCGTTGAACTGCACGGTCATACCTGATTATGCGCCAGAAGGGTGCGAGGCACTTCTTTTCGCCCTTGCCCCCCCGCCACTGGGGCCAAGGCTTGTTTTTTGTAGTGTTTGTTTTTTGGTTGGTTCGGAAGCCTCGAGTCCGTGAGGTGGGCTCCATCTCATGCTTCCCTGATGTCTGATGAGGTTGGGCGCCACAAGATGGGCCTCATTTTTTGGCTCGGACGGTTTCGAGCCTGCGACTAGGGGAGTATAGTACGCGCAGCTCGCAAGCAGGTACCGCTTCGAAGATTCTCATGAGCCCATGGCCCCAGGGGATGCGCAGATATCCTACAGCACCCGAAGAAATCCAATATCGATTAATGATGTGCTACCATTGCTGTAGCACCTTTTGTTCCCTGTGCGCCCAGGTGGCTCCAATGCACCTCGAATCTCGAGTGCGTGAGAGGGGTCATACTGACGGCGCGGAGGCTTCGAATATGTCAGAGGGTCTTGATTTCAATCTTCCTGCTCCCTGTCTCCCTCCTTCCTTCTCCCTCTCATCCTCCTGCCCCGTGCTGCTACTCCCACTCCGTTCGCCAGAAGTCAGCCGTACACCACCACCATCCCGGTCCAGTGCCAACCTGGGCCCCAGGATGATGTACAGATTGTCCTGCTCGAGTTCAGAAGGCTGTGTTTACATCATCCCAGGGCCCAGGATGGTGCTGGCCAGGGTTTTGTTGGCGTCGAGCTGCGATCTCCGAATCCGACACTGTTTTGCTCAATTGCCGGGGAACTCGAAGGCTAGATGGCGTCCAGCCGTGGCTGCCATGGCTGCCTCGGCCCCCTGCTCTCCTCTCCTGGCCCTGCCGAGGAGCGGGCTCGGCGACACCAGGCTTCTCGCGGGCGGCCAGGCCGGACGCAGCAGGCTGGAGCCCACAGAGGCGGCGCCGATCCCTCGAGACGGGGCCGGCCTCTGGCCAGGCCCGTGGCGCAGGCTGAGGCCCCCAGAGGCGGCGCCGAGCTGGCGAAGCAGGGCCGGCCTCTGGCCAGGCCCGTGGCGCAGGCTGAGGCCCACCGAGCCGGCGCCGAGCCCGTGGCGCAGGCTGAGGCCCCCAGAAGTGGCACCGAGCTGGCGAAGCAGGGCCGGCCTGCGGCCAGGCCCATGGCGCAGGCTGAGGCCCCCGAGCCGGCGCCGAGCCCGTGGCGCAGGCTGAGGCCCCCAGAGGCGGCGCCGAGCTGGCGAAGCAGGGCCGGCCTCTGGCCAGGCCCGTGGCGCAGGCTGAGGCCCACCGAGCCGGCGCCGAGCCCGTGGCGCAGGCTGAGGCCCCCAGAAGTGGCACCGAGCTGGCGAAGCAGGGCCGGCCTGCAGCTGGGCCCGCGCCCATGGCCGATGTCCCTGGAGGCAGCGCCGAGCTGGCGACCAGGCCCGCGGCCGAGGCCGAGGTGCCCGAAGGCGGCACCGAGCCTGCGAAGCAGGGCTGGCCTGTGGCCGAGCCTGGGGCCGCGGCCGCGGTGGAGTCCGCAGCGCTCGCGAGCGCAGTGCAAGTTGGGGGGCACGGAGCCGTTGCACCCGAGGCTGATGCTTCTGTGATCGCGGCGCAGTGCGGCCGCGCCCACGCCACCGAGACGGGGTCTCTTCGGCAGTGTGGCCCCACGCCCGAGCGCGCTGTCTGGTCAGTCGGCCTGACGAAGCAGACGGGGCTGTGCGCTTCAGGCAGCCAGGTCGGCATCGAGGTTTGCCCCTACCCGTCAAAGTTCTCGGGCTACGCGCTCAAGGTCGTTGCGATCACTTCGGGGCTGGTGCAGAGGTGGAACGCTGATCAGCCGGGCAAGAAGATCCAGCTCGACGACCTCATCACGGAGTGCAACGGCGTGATGGGCGACCATCATGCCATCGCACAGGCGATCAAGAGGAACACGGACATTAGGCTGACAATCTCAAGGAGGTCCCGCTGGCAGGCTGACAACAGCGTCCTGCGGGACGACACCGATGGGCTGTTCTTTCGCCCCACCCCGAGTGGCCTGGAGCAGAAAGATGGGCTGTCCCAGGACGATCTCGTGATGTGGGGAAGCTGCGTGGACGGTGTCCCTATGCCGGACGGACAGTGGCTGCAGGTGGAGGGGAAAGGCTACCTTCCCATTGTTCTCAGAAATATACAGGTACTGCGGCTGCAGGAGTTCCTCGAATTGTCGCTGCACCGTGCCCACGCTCATGCCAAGCGCGGCGGCTGTACTCCTTGCAGAGGGCGGTCGTGCCGAGAAGCCTGGGCACGCCAACAGGTATGGGCTGTCTGAGCAGTGCGCCGACCTGGGTGCCCCGCGCGCTGTTCATGCATAGTAGCCTCTCCCGAGCTCCTGTAGTAGTCATGGTGATCATTTCGAAGAAGAACCGCAAGGTGATCTTGGACCACCTGTTAACTGAGGGGGCGAGGTGCGTCAAGCACGACCCCAGCGCCTGCAAGCACAACGAGCTCGAGGACACCCCGATCTTGCACGTCATTGTGGTCCTGAGGTCGCTGGCCTCCCGCAGCTACCTCTCGGAGAAGCTCCGCCGGCAGTGGCACTTCTGCTTCCGCGCCAGCGAGGGCATCGAGTACCTGCAACAGGCCCTCCACCTGCCCGCTGAGGTGCAGCCCTCCACCCTCACAAGGGCGCCGGCCCGAGTGTGGCTGGATGCCTGCGCCGGCTCCACTTCCAGCCCGCCGGCGCGCCTGCAGGGGGGCGGCCGGGGTTGTGCCTCCCGAGGCGGCCGGCCCTCTGGAGTTCTGTGCCGCGGGCCCCCCGAGGTTGCCACCTCCTTCTCTCTGTCCCTCTTGCCGCCCTCCTCCCACCTCGTCCTGCCCTCTCTCTATTTCTCCTCCCTCCCCCCATCCCTGTTCCCAGCGCCCTTCTGCCCGCTCTCTCCTACCCCTCCTGCCCCTCCTTCCGGGTGCCTTCCCTCCGTAGCGGCCTTGGCTCAAAATGCGTCTCCGGGGGGCACTCACCGGGTCGTCTCCTGGAGTTTCCTTCCCTGGTGGGCTGGGGGTACATTCGCCCCCTTGATGCTAGGGAAAAACATCGACCCACGTCGTGAGATCCAAGTGGATACCGCTGTTCAGCGGCCAGAGCAAGCATCGTTCGGGGGTCGCCTCTCCAGTGCGGGACCAGAGGCTCCGGGGGGAGTCCTCACCGAGCGATGGTTCAGGAGCCCCATGGTGCCGAAGCCGCCGCAGCCTGATGTATTGCGGTGGCGGCCAAGGTATGCAACATAGGGATCCGGGATGCACGTGCGGAGCCGAAGAACTGGGCATCGAGGCTTCTCAGTCGGCGCGGCCGTGCAGCGTCAGGGTGGGTCGTCGCAGCAGCCAAGGCAGCGCACGCCAAGGCCGAGCATTCATGGAGCGACAGAGGCAGGTCGGGAGGAGGAGGTCCCAGGGCGAAGCCGCCGTGGGTGAACTCAGAGATCTGCAAACAAGTGGTGGATCTCAGGTCCGAGTCCAAGGATCTCGAGGAGTTCGGCAGCCGAGGCCCCGGCTGGGTGAGAGCCGCTGGCTTGGGCGCCGCCGCCTGCCCTCGCCCGTCGTTCGCTCGTTCGCGCGCTCTCGGGTGCGCCCGGTCGCGGCCGCGCTCCGTCGGGCGGAGGAACGCTGGTTGAGCGCGAAAGGCAGAAAGGCAGAACCGGCTCCGTTTCTTTGAGAAGTGCCTCAAGGAGCATGGCCCCTCCGAGGCCAAGCACAAACTTCAGGTCGAGGTGGACAAGTGCAAGACCGCAGTCGATATGTTCGAGTTAGCAGAGTCGGCTCATCGCAGTGCCCAAGAGAAGCCCAAGACCGCTAGCACCATGATGTCGGTTCTGGAGGTAGAAGCTGCTAACCTCCAGCAGCAGCTTACCGACCTCCAGAGAGCCATCGCCTCGAAGAGCGCCGCCATCACATCCAAGCGGTCGGAGTTTTTTTGGTGCCCCGTGAGAACTTCGCACAGACGGCAGCGGCGGTGGCGCCAAATGTTCCGAGTGGAAAACGGCGGCGATGTTCACGCTCGAGATGGATGGGGCTCCTGGAGGAGCTCCGCACGCTCGTGGAAGGCTTCGGAGCAGACGCCCAGACGAGGTCCATGGATGGTCTCCAGGAGCGCGTGCGCAGGCAGTCGAGAAGCACGAGGACATGGGCACGCCGACTCCTCCCGCTAACCCTGGGGCTGTCGTTGCTTCTTGCTGCCGATGAACATCCAGTGCCAGCGGAGGGAGTCACGCGTGAAGGAGATGATGCATATGCACTAGAAGAGTTGCACCGGATATTTTGCCCTTGTCGCCAGCGGGAGAGGTCATGATCAACGGAATCTGCAGCAACAGTTCATCGAGCTTGCTGCGACCGTCCGACACCAGGAAAAGGCAAGGCTCCATTCCTGACCTGCGGTAAGACTTTAGTGTATGTAAGCAGCTTGCCCGTTCTCCGTGGACGAGTTCGTTTTCATGGCTCCGTCATGCAATGCCGATCGTGGCATCAAACTGATGAAGGGTAGGATTCAGGAGATCTGCGCGACACTGTTCATCTGACAGGAAGTCGGCTTCAGTCGTGCCTCGGCTGATGAGTTGTTCCAGGGGCTGGTTGGAATGGGTGGATGGTGATGGCTAGCCCTGCGCAGAAACAGGAAACGAACGACCCCAGCCCAAGGAACAGTTGTTTGAATGCCTGAGGTTGATCATCCTGTGACCCACAAGGGGCGAGCGCTGTGTGTGATCGCAGACCTGCCAGGTTGGTCGCCCCTCCATGCAGTTGGGCTCTATCTGATGGCGAATCATTGTATCGAGGGCTGGGATGTGATAAGTTTAGGCAAGATAGGTGACCGCCGCAGCCAGGTTAATAAGCCAGTCATGGCAGCAGGAGTTTGGAACGCTTCCCCACTGAAGGTAGAGGAGTCAGATTTGCTCGCGAGTCTCAGGTGGTCCTTGCAACGCCCACTCTGTCGACGTGCATCACCCATAAGTCGAGTCGCGCTGCTGCCTGTTTTGCATTGAATGGAGCGGCGAAGAGGTTGGCCGAGTTTGTAGCAGTCGATGTGACGCGGCCCAAGAGACCGCGGATGCCAGCGCGAGCGGGGACCAGCGCCAACAGTATGAACCAACACTATATGGTTTACTCTGTAGCCAGCAGGGTGCCCACGAGCGCATCATAAATCCTAGCAGAGAAGGCTCATCATGGGCTGAAGCGCGACAGTTTGATGAGCATGCCGTGGGGCTCTGTGAGGAGGCGCCAGTGGGGGGCCGTGGGCGTGCGCGGCGCTTGCCGCTGAGGCAGGCGTTGCATTTCGGGGCGCCGCGGGGCAGATCAGTGCCAAATCGCCATGGGGCGCGCCGCCGAGGGCGCGCTGGATCGAGTGCAAGTTCAGGCCCCAGGTGATCAGTGACGTGCGTGCAGCACCGCGAGGGTTGCGATGGCTGTCGCAGGCCGTGTCCAGCATCGCGTTTTTGCTCAGGGGCAGTTCGACAGTCGCACCTTGCCTTAAAGCTGAGGTCGAGGAGTTCACGCAGGCGCAGTGCCCAGGCAAGGACATGTGCCCGATATTCGACCTCGGCGCGCTGGGGGCGCGTGTCCAGGCAGGGCGCGCAGTCGCGGAGGCAGCGGGAACGGGAAGCTAGCGTGTTCATTGCGAGGGGCTGGATCATGATAGTAGAGCCCAGCATGTTGCCCAGGCCACTGACTTCCGGCCGCCCGACTGCGCGTCCCCGTGAACAGGGGCTCGCACCTCAGTCGGCAGCGAGCATGCGCGCGCTGGGATCAGCGCTGCAGTACGATGTATGGGGGGCGCGGCCCCTTCCTGCGCAGTGACGACGAGCCAGGTTTCGTCGTGGTGGAAGGTTATGGCCCTGAACCCGCAAGCGGCGGCTGCCCCGAGGATCTCGGGCCGCCGCGAGTGGCTGCGCCCTCGGAGCTCGTCTGGAGGGGATGTGGCGCCGTAGTGGGAAGGGGGCGATTGCGTTGGTTGCCGGCGCTTCGGCGAGTGGGGCGGGGCGATGTGGCCCCGTGTTCGAAAGCGGCCCCCGCTTCAATCATTTCGGAGCGACTCGAGCGGCGCTCCTCGGAGCGGGATGCGACGCCGCTGCAGGGGGTGGGGCGCGAGAATCAGTGTCTAGCGCCCACTGTTGCTCAGTGGCGCCAGCGACCTGTTCGGCCTCGTCGTCGCAGACAAACGAAACGAACCAGGACCATGAATCATTGCCGCGCGTTTTGCCGCAGGCGTGGGCGCAAAATCCCGGGGGTGGGGGGGCGCGGCCCGCCGGGTCCAGCGTCGCTGGGCGTCGTCGAACACTGCGGCGCCAAAGGCTGGCGATGGCGACGGCCGCGCAGGTTCATCGTCGCCGCGTTCCAGAGTGCGAGAGCAGAGTGGTGGCGAGATGGGGGTGGCGCCCCGAGCCAAGAGATGCGACCGCGTAGTCCGCGCCCTGGAGTAGTCTCGCACTGCTCGAGGTGATGGTGTCCAGGGCGCCGAATCAGACGAGTCTGGGGTCGCGCGGCGACGGTGGCAAAAATAGTGCGGCGCTGCGGTGGCAAACGGCTGCAGGGGATTGCACGGGTCTATTCGGGTCCCTTGTGCGCCGCATCCGACAGTAGTCCGAACTGATGGGGGGCTTTCTGCGCGCCCGCATGGCGTTGCCATGGCAGAGTCTCTTCAGTGCGAACGACTCTGGCAGGCGACCCGGGTGCCGGGTGTCGCTTGGTTTCTTGATTGCTCCAGCTTGTCGCGTTTTCAAGCAGATGTGCTACCGTCAGCAGCGAACAGTTTCCCGCGTGCCACGCCGGCGAGCTTGGACAGAATGCGCCCGATGCACATTGGCCTCTTGTCGGACGAAGCGTTCCGTGCGTTGGCATGTATGTGCGAAGCGTGAGGGGGCATCGGGATGCTTGAATGCCAGCTGCTCTTCGTCGTGATGCCATTGCTGGCGAAGCCAGGGGGCTGAGGTCATCGGCCCATCATGTCGCGCGCTGGTGGCTGCGGGGTCTGGGGGGGGCATTGCCGTCAGGAGCTCGATCTACAGCGCGCCTTTCTCGAGCGGACGTGCCGGGGGGCGCGCGGGCAGCGGTGCGGTCGACGTATCGTGGGCTTGGGCTGCCCGAGCAGAGCGGATGTCGCGGCTGCCAGACACAAAGTTTTTGCTCGACCATCCTGTGGTGTTGGGTCCTCGTTTTGAAGAGTCGGTCCCCGCGTCCTTCCTCCCTCCTTGCTCCCTCCTCCTCCCCCTCCTCCCTGCGTTTCGCCCGCACAGTGCGGCGTTTCGTGGTCCCGTAGGGGGCTCCACCGAAGGCCCCAGTGGCGCG